GAGAGAGAGAGAGAGAGAGAGAGAGAGAGAGAGAGAGAGAGAGAGAGAGAGCGCAGCCGACGCACTACACGCGAACAACAAAGTGACGGAGGAGAAAAACGGGAGCAGCGGAGGGTGGTGGGGCGGGGCGTGGTGGGGCGTGGCCGGGCGTGGCGCAGCCCGTCGGGGCGGCACGAGGAAGGCGAGCGGGGCCGCTGGATACGGAAGAAAAACAGAAGCCTGTACTTCTCAGATAACCGGGACGCAGAGCAGCAGGCGGGACCCCCAGCCCGGCCAACTCCACTGGGAGAGCAGGGGGGAGGGGGCTGCAAACCACAGGGTGGCCGGGGAGCCGGATGAGACGGGGCGGACTGTAGCGCCGGCACAGCTGTGAGAGAGCGCCTTGCCCCGCCCCGCCCCACCACGCCTCGCCACACCACACCACGCCCGCGCACAGAGAGGAGCCTTGCTGGCGCGCGCACCGGTTTTTCTACTTCAAGGAACTCCTCGGCATGGCCGTCCGATCGCCACTACGAGCCGAAACCCTTCACGTGTTTTGGCTCTCCTTACAATACGACTGTCGAGTGGAAAGGAGAGTCAATATCCGCCCCGCAGCACTGAGGTTTAAACCCACCATGACGCACGGCCGCAGAGGAGAGATGGAGAGTGTGGTGGTGGGGGTGGAGAGGTTGGTGGGGAGGGTGGGCGTGGGGGAGGATTGTGTAGCGCGGTAAGACGGGGGCACAGCAGAGGCCAGCAGGGAGCGGCAAGCGGCCCATTCCCAGGGAAACGGCCGATTCCACCGGCACTTAGCCCCCCTCTCGCCCCGCCCGCCCACCGGCTGGCCACGACCCAGGCTCTGTGTCAGTAGACACTGCCAGGAACCACACATACTTCCCGAGATCAGAAATGGACAAGACTTTTCATTATCTTCTTTTTTTCTTTTGCCTTTTCCCTCGAGCTAAATAGAAGCGGGTTGAGGCGGCATTGAGGATAGATAGGGACACAAGGTAGTTATACTGTAATCGAAACGCAGACATTTTCCGGGTCCTCATTTTCACTCCACCCTGGACACTCCAAAATTTAAAGTGAACAACCAGCAGAGCAGCTGCAGCAGTTGGCATTCCCCAAGCAACCGAAATGGCGGAAACAGAGAAAGGAGAGAGGGAGAGAGAGAGAGAACGCAGTGCGCACTGCGGCAATGCAAACGCAACGGGGGTACCAGCCGCGCCACAACCAGGCTGGGGCGGGCGGTGGACCCAACCCAAACACCGCGGGCCGGCTACTGCTGCTGCTATGCCGCCCTGCCTGCTGCTGCCCCTCAAGGTGTGCGTGCGGTGCGAGGACCGGGGAGGGGAGAAGTGGTAGTGGTGGTGGTGGTGCAACGGCACGGGCACGGGACAAGGTCGCAAACTTGTGATGAATTGTCCGGCCGAGCGTTAGGGCTCCGGAGGCGGACCCGGCCGGGGGCGGGCCGAGGGCGGCCTGCCAACAGCCGCCGCAGCCACCCTCCCTGCGTGCTCCGCCGCCACCGGCACAATGGGTCCCATCCTCCTGCTTCCACCCTCCACCCTCCACCATCCACCCCCCACCCCTCCTCCTCCAACCCGACCGTATAATCCTGTCGCCAGCGCAGCACCCGGCCCCGCCTCGCGCGACACTCCGGTTGTTCCCTCCTCTTCCTCGAACTCTCGCCGCCGGCCCCCGTGACGCGCCAACGCGCACAGCGGGAAAACGCCACGGGCTTGGAGAAAGGGGGGTAGCGGTAGAGACGAGGACGTCCGCACCAGGAAGACAGCCAGTCACCACAACGCGGGCGGGCGACCTTGTCGAATTACGCGTTTGGTCGCTGGGTGGAGGTGGAGGATCCCCCTCGACTGTCGTGGCCGGGGGTCGCCCCGTGAGGGCCCTAGCGCCGGCTAGGGGGGTGGGGGCGCAGCGCGGGGAGAGGGGTTGGGGGCGGCGGGGGGTCCCATAAAGGTGAGGTACCGGCCTGCAACATGCATGAGTTGATTCTGAAAGAAGTAGGGCACCCCGATGAACCCCTGCGGGCGTGGCCCCCTCCCCCCATCCTTCCCCTTTCCCCTCCGGCCCCTGGACCGCCTCGCCATCACGGGACAACGCGACCCGGGGGACACACCGCCGCCGGACAGACACTCCCGGATGAAAAGGCTCCTCTCAAGAAACCGACAGAGAAAACGAACAGGGGACGCTTTGCGCGCGCGGGCGCAGGGCCAGAAGCAGAAGATGAGGGTGTTAGGGTGTTTCCACTACCCTCACGCCATGGACCCCCTGCACCCGGGTGTCGACGAGGCGATTTCCAGCGCGGGTATGGCGCCTACGACCTCCGTGCGGGGGTGCATGACCGACCCGCTGCCTCTGGCAGAGAAGACCTCTGCGTTACCGTCCAAGGGATCCCAGGTGTGCCCGAGGAGCAGCGGAGCCGCCCGCCCCGCCTATGCGACGCAACGACTCGCGCGCACGCACCTCACCAGAGCTCCTCGCCGGGGGCGTATTCGCCCGCGCAGCACCTCCTCTCGGCCGGGCACACCCCTCCGCCTACCGCCACCACCAACCGCCCCCAGTCAGACGAGCCCCACCCCAACCCGCCCCACGGGCCCCAAAGCAATTACCAATCGTAGACCGTGATCTCCCTGCAGCCCTTCGCACCCAATTTGAGAGGGATGGAGCGTTAAGAGGTAAAGCGGGGATCGAATGGGGTGGAGGCGGCGCGCTGATAGATCGATAGATAGATAGATAGATAGATAGATAGATAGATAGATAGATAGATAGATAGATAGATAGATAGATAGATACGGCTCACCAGGCTGCAACGAAGGCAGATCCATTTCGACGGAATACTCACCTGGAAAAGAGAAAATAAAATAATTTAGAAACATACCGACAAGATTAATAGAATAAAACGGTAGATCATAGGAAATCGATCAAACAACAGCATAAACCGTGAAGAATGGCGATGTGTGCGAGAATGTGGTGGCATTTGAGTATTTGTTGAGCGTCTTCCGCGCGCCTGTGTGTGTGTGTTTGTGTGTGTGTGTGTGTGTGTTTGTAAGAGAGACACACAGGGAGAGGGGTGAAGCACCAAGATGGAGAGCATAGGGCGGGAGAGACAGGCGCAGAGAGAGAGAGAGAGAGAGAGAGAGAGAGAGAGA